GGGCGGTCTCAAAATCATCAAAAGTAATTCGTATCGCGTTGGCGATTTTGGGAACAAGACCGTCCATAAACGTTGAAAGCAAGAATCCGTCCAGAAAATCCTGCTTGCCTTTATACTCCCAGCACTCCTTTACGTAAAAAGGATTAGGCAGGAGGGCTGCAGGTTGGTTTTCTCGGCGGATCACTTTTAAATTGCCCGGGGCGTCGCCCAAGAGGAAATTGCCAGCTCGTCTAACTCGGGCCCCAAAAGTCTGGACTTGCTCCCCTGGAGTTTGTCTCATTCTCTTGAGGTTCCTCATCAGATTCGTCAGCACTCTCCTCCCGAACATATCCTGCAACGTCTTCACTATTACTCTGTAATGGGCTGATGTCAGCCCTTGGATAGACGTCACATAGATCTGCGCTTCGCCCTTAAGCTTGCTCAACAGATTTGAACGGATGCTTTCGTCCGAATAAACGCCATCGTACAGGGCACTTTGAAAAGTTGCCCACCACTCTTGCCAATTCAAGGGACCACTTCCATCGAAAAACGCAATTTGATTCATCGCGATCGAGGCCTGTTGAGTACTTACGCTAGGCAATCTGGACTTCTTTAAATGCTCAACATTATAGAAAACTACCTCGTCCGCGCTAGGCTCAGTAATTTGATCAAGACTTAATTCATTTGCAACCAGAGCCTGTCTGATACCCATGCCGTCCGCAAAGTTACGCTTTTTAATTTTTAATTCTTCCTTCAGCTGTTTCGAAAACAACAATAATTGGGAGTCATCGATAGCCTTCTCATGGAGACTGATCTCCATGAGATTTGGCTCAAGAACTTCCAATATCGTCGTTACCGTGGCCAATGGGCCATCAGCTGCTCGTATATCGTCAATTCTTTTTCTTAGCGCATCTTTCACTTCTTGGGCAGGGCCAGGGTTTGCATTAAGCTGACCTTCGAGTTGCTCTATCTCTTTTTCCAATTCCTTCTTTCGCGTAGCAGCAACTTTGGCCTGCTCTTTGGGACTCATCTCGAGGAGTTTCCTATCCACGACAGCGTTCACATCTAATACTCGCGACATGTCGAGCGATGAGACGTTCGCGGGGGTGCCAGATGCCATAGCAGAAATTTCCCTACGTTCACTGCTAAATTCACTTTTTCACAGACGCCGTATTCAAAGGTACTTTTTTCGCGTGTACCTGCGGAGGTCTGGAGCACTTAGTCTTCTACTAATTTTCTTCGAAGCACTTTCTAGCTATTTTAACACTTTCTAGCTTTCTTAGCTTTGCTGTAAGCACTCACCCGGGCGAAAAAGGAAACTTCGGCTGCGCCAAATTATGTTATCCTTATTGGGAGAAATCAATAAAAGACTCTGTCGCGACTCTAGAAGAACGTCTTCTTCTTGATACGATAAATCTTAGACAACTTTTATTCCCAAGGATAAGCTTTCAACGAGAAGATTATTGTTCCTGTAAGACCCGAGTTTCGAAGTGAATCTAGACTTCTCGTTATAAAGACGGATACGTATATTTCTGTTTAGTACATCAACCAACGCCAGACCGACAATGAATACCGA